GCTTCGCCCTGACCACAGCTCCGTCTGCCTTCACAGTGCAGCTCCCCACCTCACTGATCATCTCCACAGTGGGGTCACGTGGTCAGTGGGAACAAGTTTTGGGTTTCCTCTGTTCTATCTTAGTTCTTATGTCTTGGCAAAATACTGAAGTTCCACAAACAAGCCAGAGTGTCCACATGCTCTGTCTGAGTACGGCAGCACCTTTGTACTTTGTCAAGTCTTCAGTTGCTACCATCATGGAACTTGTATCGTTCGAACCGACGAAATGACTAAAAGAATTGTTTAAACGAGCCAGCAGTCTAGACCTGTGTAGGTGAATGAAGAAACACTTGAAAGTCAGAAGGAGAAAAAAAAGTTACTTGGGACCAGAGCAATCGTACAGCAGGTAGGACGTTTGCCTTGCACACAGCTGACCTGGGTTTGATCCCTGGTATCCCATATGGTCCCCCAGGCACCACCAGGAGTAATCGCGGAGAGGAGAGCCAGGAACAACCCCTGAGCATGGTGGTTTGGCCCATAAACATAAGCAAAAGGAAAAAAAACAAAACTGAACATTTAGGATTAGCAAACACTGTTGGATTTCCATAACATACTTCATTCCTGATTTCATCTGTAAGAGATATGATTACGACCCTTTCAAAAACAATGGTCAATTCCCCAAAATTTAGAAATTTAGCTCCCATTTGACCCAGCAATACCATTCCCGGGAATATATCCCAGAGAGGGAAACAAGCATAGCCGCAGTGACATCTGCACTTGTTTGTTCATTGCAGCACTCTTTACAATAGACAGAATCTGGAAAAAACCTGAGTGCCCGAGAACAGATGACTGGTTAAAGAAACTTTGGTACATCTACACAATGGAGTACTATGCAGCTGTTAGAAAAGATGAAGTCATGAAATTTACATACAAGTGGTACTACATGGAAAGTATCATGCTAAGTGAAATGAGTCAGAAAGAGAGGGACAGACATAGAAGGACTGCATTCATCGGGGGAACATAAAGTAACAAACAAAATAGGAGACTAACACCCAGGAATAGCTGAGGTAAGTACCAGGAGGTTTACTCCATGGCTTGGAGGCCAGCCACACATGCTAGGGGAAAAGTTAGCTCAGATAGAGAAGGGAGCACCAAATAAAGGATTTTGGGAGGATCCTCCCAGGATGGAGGATGCATGCTGAAAGTAGACTATAGACCGAACATGATTGCCACTCAATGCCTCTTTTGCAAACCACAGCACCCAAAAGGAGAGAGAGAACAAAGGGGAATGCCCTGTCACAGAGGCAGGGTGGGATGGGGGACATAGGGGGTGGGAGGGATACTGGGATCCGTGGTGGTGGAAAATGGGCACTGGTGGAGGGATGGGTACTCGTTGTATACCTGAAACCCAAGCACAGAAATCTGTAAGTCTACAACTGTACCTCATGGTGTTTCACTAATAAAAGTTTTTTTAAAAAATGGCATCTTATAAATATTCTGGCAATTTATGGAAAATTTATTAATTTAGTTGCAAATTATTATGGCATTTGGGCTGGAGCGATAGCACAGCGGGTAGGGCGTTCGCCTTACGAGCGGCCAACATGGCTGACCCGAGTTCGATTCCTCCGCCCCTCTCGGAGAGCCCGGCAAGCTGCCGAGAGTATTGGATATGCCAGACACAGTAACAACAAAGTCTCCAATGGAGACGTTACTGGGCCCGCTCGAGCAAATCGACGATCAACGGGAGGGCCTTTACCTTTACCTTTACCTTATTGTAGGTGACCTGTTACTCATTCAACTGATAATGTGTTCCCCTCTCAGTGTTTATTAATATTATAGATGCTTCATTCAAGAAACTCACTGAGTGATAACTACCTGCAACCCGCGAAGAAGCAAGGCTTTGTGGGTCCTGAATTTTATATAGTTTACTAAAACCCTGCTTAAAAAAATAAATGAAATGTAAAGTTATGAATATAAAAATTGCTGGGATCTTCCCCGAGATCTTGCAAGTAAGGTTTGGAGTTCAGCTTCCTCATCAATTCACCTCAGCTGGGCCTGTTTTCTTTTGTGCTTAGGTTGATTACATCTGACGGGTCCTCAGCCCACTGAGCTCTCTCTCTGGCTCTCATCTCGAGCTCTTCCCAGGTATATTTAATGCAGGGAGTAAATCATGATCAACCCAGCTTCTAATCAACCCAGTCATTTGTCAGACAGGCAATAAAGTGACGTAACTGAAGGACTAGCATCCCTGGCCTTTGGAAAGAGATGTAACAACAGCTTTTTTTCCCCTTGTTGTTTTTGGGCTACACATGGCAGGGTGCTCAGGCCTTACTACTGGCTAAGCTCAGGGAGACCCTGTGGGGTGCTGAGGCTTAAACCCAGGTCATCCATGTGCAACACAAGCCGCGCATCCACGGTAATTGTGCTCCAGTCACAGAGTTTTGATCACACAGGAAAATTGTACCTGAAAGGAATGAGCTTGGTCATTTAGAAAAATTAGGGCTGGAGCGATAGCCCAGCGGTAGGGCGTTCGCCTTACAAGCGGCCAACATGGCCGACCCGAGTTCGATTCCTCCGCCCCTCTCGGAGAGCCTGGCAAGCTACCGAGAGTATTCGATATGCCAGACACAGTAACAACAAAGTCTCCAATGGAGACGTTACTGGGCCCGCTCGAGCAAATCGACGATCAACGGGAGGGCCTTTACATTTACCTTTACCTTTAGGACCCAAAGAAAGGAGCCCACCCCCCAAAACATTCGGGCCCCAACACATTCGGTGCTGGGGTGGGTAGTGCCATCACTGGTGTTTGGGGGTCACTTGGTGCAGTGCTGGTGAACCATGTCGTGCAGGGGCTTGACCCTCGGGCTCCAGCATTAAAGCGTGCACTATCTCCCCAGACTCCGTGACAATCTGTTGAGCTGACCGAATTGGTCATAGGAGCTAGTTCTATTTAAATCACATGCCAGGGATGATCATTTCTTTCCAGGTATCTCTGATTCTTTCATTACCTTTTTCTCTCATTTCAGAGTAAAATTTCAGTATTTCCGTATTTCTGTCCTCCCGTTGTTCATGGATTTGCTTGAGCGGGTCCAGTAACGTCTCCATTTTGAGACTTGTTGTTACTGAATTGAATATTGAATACGTCACGGGTAGCTCGACAGGCTTTGCTGTGCGGGCGAGATACTCTCGGTAGCTTGCCGGGCTTTCCGAGAGGGGCGGAGGAATCGAACCTGGCTCGGCTGGGCCGGCTGCGCACAAGGCAAACGCCCTACCGCTGTGCTGCAATGCAAATAAATCATCACCTTCTCCATTTTCAATTTGTTGGGTTTTCTTCTCATTTTGGGGGGCCACATTCTGAGGTGTGAATGGGGGTCACTCCCGGAAGTGCAAAGCGTGTGCTCCAGCTCTTTGAGCTGTCTCCTCAACCTCATTCATCATGAGTCTTTCTTAGTATACCACCCACCGTTATCTCCAGTGTCATCCCGCTATCTTGTTACCCTGCCGTCTGGACTAGCAGTGGGGCTCTCATGCTTTCCCACCAGCATCTGTCTTCTTTCCTTCAGTGTTTAAGGTTCTTGGTGACAAACACCCTGCTTTCTTCTTCTGTATAGACAGGCCTGACGCTCAGAAGAAATGTCACTCTGTGAATGTTCTTGAATGTCTTAACTTTTATGAACTATGATGCGTTTCCCCGCCCCCCAACCCCCACCGTCTCCTATAAAACTATACCGAAACTGAGGTTCTTATGATGCCTGGTATAATAAAATGCTTAGTAAAAATGCGGCATTAAAACAATGAGGTAACTATTATCTCTAAGCCTGCTCCTTACTAAACTGGTCTTCCGGGGAGTCAACTCAGGTCTATACCCATGAAGAATCACCGAGCTGCCTTCCTGCCCTACCTTCATCGAATCTGCAGGAAACTGTGTAAAACTGGATTTCTGAAACACAAGCAGGTGAAGACTCGTTTTCAAAGGAGGATCTTCTGCTTGAGTACAGAATTTCCTTTATGTCTCTGAACTTTGATCTGCTTGTGTCACATCAAATCAGAGAAATCAGAGAGAACTTTTCACTCAAAGGGTATAAAACCACAGACTTCTTACAGACGAGTAATCAGAAAAGTAAGCATAATGAAATTAGACAACAGCAACGTATTTTTGATGAATACTTTTCACTCAGTCTGACGTAACACAAACGCTTCTGGGGTCAGAGAGATAGTTTGAGATAGAGCACATGTCTGCCATGTATAAGGCCCAGAGTTTGATTCCACCGCACCACAGAACTCCAGGTGCCATACATGGCCTCCTTCTAGGTCAGCTGGCCAGTGTGAAGCCAGCTTTGCCAGGAGTGATCCTGGTCCCTCCCCAGCACTGCCAGGTGTGAAGCCTATTGAACGTCTTTACCATAGCTTTTTCTACCTTTTGCCCTAGCTCAAAGGTTTATACTGAGCACAGTGAATTCAATTTGTATATATATCATTTTTTTCTTCAAAATAATGTTCGAGATTCTTAGGAGGGAAATATGCTAAGACAGACGTTCAGGAACTCTTCTGCTTCACCATGTGAAAGAAGCTACCAGCTATGAACGAATCCATAACTTTCCTTCCCTGCCAACTCCCAGTAAAAACTGCTATATCTAGTTCTTCCCAGCTCTTTGTTGCATACATTTAAGTGGTTAGGAACTTTGCACATGAACAGGAACCAAAGCTGGAATTAAACTGGGAATTTAAAGCCTCATTCACAGGTCAGCACTGCACCAGTGGGAATCACAAGACAATGCTAACGGATGCCTTTCTGTTAGTGCTCATGCCAATCATCAGTAACAGGAAAAAGCAAAGCATGCCATGTGCCATGCAAATCTCTTGGCCTCTTCGTTCCTTAGTTTCCTCATTTGAAAAAAGGGACTGATCTCAAGACACACTTGTTAGAGTTCACACTGGCCTTATGCCACTTAGCTAATAATAACTGTACGATGAGGTTATGCAGTTTTATTATATATATATTTATCTGCTTTTTCACTTACATTTTGTGTAAAAACTGCATTTCATGCCAGGACTGAAACGTTCCAAAGCTCAGTTCGGTGATTAAATTGCAACTAAGATTGCTACCGAAGAAAAAAAAGAAAAAAAAAGATAAAAGCAGTGGCAGCAGCAGAAGAAAGAAGAAGAAGGAAGAAGGAAGAGAGAAGAAGGAAGAAGAAGGACGAATTTTTTTTTTTTGGTTTTTGGGTCACACCCAGCATAACTTCTAATTTACATAAGCACATTTCATGTGCTAAACATCACTGTGGACGACCTAAGCTTAAGGTTTATTCTTTGATGTTTATGATGCTGTGGGGGCATTAGACGCAAAATAGCAAATTTTGTATTAAGTATTTTAACAAATACTTAAGTAATTAAGTTCTCTAGGACAGGGATTCATGACTTCAGCACTACTACCACATGGGGGCTGGATAACTGGGGGGGTGGGGGCGCTGTCCAGTACATTGTCGATATTCAGCAGTGTATCTGGAGGCCTCTGCTTACTAGACACCAACAGCATCATTACAGATCTGGCAATCAAAACAATAAAAAATCTGGAGACACTATCAAGGGTCATATGAGTACAAAATCATCCTGGTTGAGGGCCATTGTAATCGTTACTTACAGGCAAAAAAGGATTTGCTGTACAGTTCTAGTAGCCACTTTTAATATTCTAATAATATTAAATTGAATAATAGAGGCTGACAATTAAGTGTTACAAAAATTCCAAAAATAGGGGCTGGAGTGATAGTACAGCGGGTAGGGCGTTTGCCTTGCACGTGGCCAACTCGGGTTCGATTCTCAGCATCCCATATGGTCCCCTGAGCACCACCAGGAGTAATTCCTGAGTGCATGAGCCAGGAGTAACCCCTGTGCATCACCAGGTATTACCCAAAAAGCAAAAAAAAAAAAAAAATCCAAAAATAATGAAGCATATTTTGAACTTACACAGATTGCAAATACGGTACTGCTTCAAATGTCCGCCTTTCAATAAACTGTATTTTATTGCAGGATAAATCTCTAGGGAAAGAAAAGGGAAAATATTGCTTCAATTAACTAACAAATATCTAATTTTAGGAATAACTAGTAGAAGTCAAAATAAATATTGAATGAGTAGATCTGAATGTTCCAGAATCCCTAACCTGGCTTTCCTTTTTCTCAACCACACATCTTCATGAATAAAATGTACGACTACTTGGTTCTAATATTGGAGTTAAACTTTTCTCGGAGCAGAGAATTGATGAGGTGATTTTATGTTCTAGAAGGGGTTGAGTTTTTTATCTTCATGTAAAATTACTATATTTAATATAGTTATTTCAATATTCAAATGAACAGTCTCATGTTTATATACCTTCCTGTGTAGCTGTTTTCTAGGCTAACAGAAACTGGCCTAGAAAAAATTAGCCTTTTTCATATAATATGAAAATCCTTTTAGACAGAACTTTGAACTAATTTAGAATTAAACTTTTCTATCATCATAGAAATTCAATTTTTGGTTCTACATTTTCTGAATATTCCATGAATTTCACTGCTTTAATTGTACAGTGGTGGAACAAAGAAAATCAGAGTACTGAACTTTGATTTGACTACAAGTGACTGTTCTGTATCTTTGAATTCTACTTAAGTTCTTTCACATATGACCAAGATGGGTATACCTATCTCCTAGCTCATCCCTCTTCTTCTCTTGCCTCCCTCCCTTCTTGGTCTCCTTCCTTCCTTGGCAGTTCTCAGGGCTTACTCCTGACTGCACACAGATCACTCTGAGGGTGCTCAAGGGATCTTGCATGGTGCTACGGATCAAACCTGGGGCACCCATGTGCAGAAGCAAGGCCCAGTCTTTCCTTTTCCAACACACAATGCACACCGTCATGTATTAACCTTCCTAATAGTTCTCAAGTACCAGCCTCACTACTCCAAATCAACTAAAGCAGGAACTGTGGTGGGGGATTTCACAGACCTGCCCAGTGATCTGCTACAGGCCTGAGTGCCCCAGCGCAGGTGGGCACGAGCAAGCTCGGCATGCTAGCCCTGGCTTACAACACCTGGGTCTAGGTCCCTCCTCTTTCTCTTGGTCTTCTGAGAGCACTGAGGTGTTTTTCCTGTGTTTTACCTCTCTCCTGCTCTCTTTTTACGAGATTCTGTCCAAGATGTCTGTCTGACAATCGCCCAACATTTCCTACACTGGAATTTTTATCACCAGAACTCTCCTCGTGATAACCTCCTCTGCTCTTAATACTACTGCTATAGAATCCATCTGTATTAGCCTCGTATTTCCCATATAAATGTTCGTTTAAGTCATAGGTAATTCGAAAATATGTTGACATAGGGTGTTAGAATGTTGTATTGCAAATCACAATGAGAAAACTAAAAATTTTTTAAAATTCTAGGCTAATGGCATTCAAGTTCTTTATTTTCTTTATAATTCAGGTTTATTTTTATTTTATTTTTTAAATAATTTTTTATTAAACCAGCTTTTAAAAGTTTTGTAGAAAGGCCAGAAATTTAAAAATAATAATATTCTAGATTTTGCAGAGCATATTTTAATTTTTCTTTTTTTTACAGAAAAACACAAATGTAGATTTTACAAACACATAGTTTTCTTTTGCTCTTCAAGCTGTGCTCTCCCATGTATCTCACTTGCTAGTCTCTATGTTCCTTTGCTTTTTCACTTTCACGCTGGAAAAGCTGGTGCTCCCTCTCCAACATCACCCTCCTTTCTCTCCTCCCACATCTTCCTAAGCACCTTACATTCAATAAATCTATGCTGCTTCACTGTTGCACCTCTTTAAATTCTTTCCTGCAAGGGACAGGCGGTGAACCACGTTGCCTGTGATGAGGCTGGGACTGCTTTCCCGTTCCTGCTGGTGCAAGCTGGCAGGGTGAGGGGCCCTGGAAAGTTCTTTGGGGGAATAATAAAACTAAAGAAGAAATTCTCTAGCCCCAAAGTAGCCCAAGAGCTTGTCCATCACATCATTTGAAATACAAATCCTCACATCTTTCTAAGTAAGTTTTAATAAAAGCTACCTTGCTTCACACACAAAATTAAAAAACAAAATCAATAAAACCATGGGCTGAAGCAATAGTACAGCTGGTGGGGCCTTTGCCTTGCATGCATCCCAAGAGCTCGACAATCACATCATTTGACATACAAATTCTGAGCTCTTTGAAGAGAAACTGAGATATCAGCAGGATGCAAAATTCCAAGGCCCCACCCAGAAAAGGCTGGTCCCCTCAGAGAAGAAGTTACACAAGAATCCATGAGATAACAAAGAGAATATCAACAGTGTAAGGCATTCCTGTGAAAACACCCAGATGAAGTTTTAGTATGCAAAATTCCAGGAAAAAACAACCCTTTTGGAAGGATTGAATAAAAGCACCTGGCTTGCTCTTCATGCCCTAAATATCTCACTTGTTTCTGTCTGTTTCTTTGCTTGCTTTTTTCCACTCTGGAGAGCCTGTGTTCTCTCTTGAACACAGACTTCTTACTTTCTCTCCCTCACATCTTTCTAAATAAGTTTAAATAAAAACTACCTTGCTTCATACACAAAATTAAAAAATAAATAAAACATGGGCAGGAGAGATAGTGGGGCGTTGGCCTTGCACTGCACGCAGCTGACCCGGGTTTGATCCCCAGCATCTCATATGGTCGCCCCAACATTGCCAGGAGTAATTCCTGAGTGCAGAGCCAGGAGTATCCCCTGAGTATCGCTGAGTGTGATCCAAAAAGCAATAAATAATAAATAAATATTAAAAAATAAAAACGAACATATTTGCATAGATTTTTGTTTTTATTTAGTAGTGCTCAGGGTCTACTTCAGGGATATTACTGGGAGTCAGGGACTGGGGAGCCCAGAACTGTGTCCTGCTGCAAATCCAACCCGGGCCTCCTGTTGCAAAGCATCACACTCATCATTTGTGCAATCTCCTCAGCTGACAAAAACAATTCTTAAATTAATGGGCCAGGTAAAACTGGACCATGCATTGGATTTGATCCATAAAGGAACTCTATATGAACACGGAGGAGATGGTATATTAGCACTTAGGTTTCTATGGGTGGAGCAGATATAAGTACTTTTCATCTATTAGTAAAGTTTGAAAAACACTTTTGTGAAGCAAGATAGTTTACATCGAAAGAAACTTTCTTAGAAAGATGTGGGGGGGTGGGAAAGAGAAAGAATGTGTTCATGAGATAACACGGCTTCTCAGAGCAGAAAAAGCAGACAAAGAGACATGAGGACAAGTAAGCAAATTACATGATCCAGGGAGAACATGGGCTTGAAGAGTAAGCCTAAAGGTTTTTTTTTCATATATGTCCATATATATATATGATGTAGGCAGGTAGATAGGGAAAGGCCCTTTGCAATGAAACAAAGTTTCATGGAAGAAGAATTCTAGGAATGACCCACCTTGTGGACACAGAAAACAAAGGCCTGATAAGACCAGACCCTCAGGATATAGGCCTCCCCATGGAATTCCTCTTTTTGGACCTCCCTGGTAACCTCCTTAGCAACGGACTTTCACCTGGAAAGAGGCCTCACGTGGGGACAGGCTGGAGAAACCCTTAAAGGCCACCTTGAACAAAGGAAGGGCGCACATATGCTGCCTGAGCCCATGTGCTGCTTGCGCCCACGTGGCCGAGCACATGTGGTGTCTGAGCACATGTGTGGCCCGCATCTCCCCTCTTCAGATGTGTACTTTCATTCTTTCGTGTCTAACTTTACTCTCTCTCTCGCTTTCTCTCTCTCTCTCTCCCCCTCCGCACCTAAAAACCCTACAAATAAAATCCATTAACTTCACTCACTGCTTGTCTACTCCTGAAATTCCTTTCTGCGAGACCCCGCTTCACATAAGTCATCCGTGGGGCCCACCGACATCATATATATATATATGCAAATGTAATTTAGTGTCAGAAATGACATGAGAGGTTTTTAATGCCATACTTACAAAACTACAAAATTTTATTGCTGGAAAAAAGGATGAAGATTAACTTGCACACCCCCTTGTTTTAAAAACAGAGCTAAAAATTCATAAATAAATGATTAACTTACAAGTACTTGAGGTTTGGAAGGGCTTCAAATGAATCCTTACGTAATTCTGCCAAAGAATTGTCACTGAGTATTCTGAAAAATGGAAAAATTATTTCTGGTCTAAAATGCAAAATAACTATGACTATTTATTACATAGGACTATTTTTTTTCTTAAATTTTTATTAGTGAAACACCATGAGGTACAGCTGTAGACTTACAAATTTCTGTGCTTGGGTTTCAGTTATACAATGATTGAATACCCATCCCTCCACCAGTGCCCATTCTCCACCACAACCAGTCCCAGTATCCCTCCCACCCCCCATCCTCCCATCCCACCCTACCTCTCTCCTTTTGAGTGCTGTGGTTTGCAAAAGAGACATTGAGTGGCAATCTTGTTCGGTCTATAGTCTACTCTCATCATGCATTTCCCATCCTGAGAAGAACCACCCGACGCCCTTTATTTGGTGCTCCCTTCTCTAGCTGAGCTGCCTTTTCCCCTAGCGTGTGCAGCTGTGCAGCTGTGCACAGGACTATTCTTACACATAATAATGGTGCTATCTAAATATCCCAATTCTTATTTAACTTAGGGATAGTGGCCTCTGTTTAAACTCTTTATTTTGTCCTCACCTAGATGCATCATGAACACGAACACAGCTATTGACTCTTCTCACCAAGTAACCTATATAAAGCATATTCTCTAGGTCACAAAATCTGTCAGATCCAAATTCTGTGTGACACCAGAAACACAGGGCTGCCACTCCCTGCTCTCTTCCCAAACATTACTCTGAGTCCCCCATGAAGAATGAAATTAAGTCTGGAAAGGAAGCCCTAAGAAACTTAACACCATTAAATTGTTTTGTTCTGGGAAGGAAAACGTGCACAAAGTGCACATGACATTTGGGCCCAGAGCAATAGTACAGTGGGGAGGGTTTTTGCCTTGCACGTGGCTTACCTGGGTCGGACCCGGCACCCCATAGATCCCCCACGTCTGCCAGGAGTCAGCCCATAACCAGTAGCTGTGCACCCCCCCCCCAACAAAAAAGAGCAGGCCAATAAAGCGAAGGCCCCAAGACACGTTCCTGACAAGGAACCCAGCTTCCCAGAGGCCCCAAGCGTGCCCCTACCAATCACACCCTCCTCCGACACACACCCCTGACTTGAACGAACATTATTTGGGGGGTTTCTTCGGTGCTTTGTTTTGTTGTGGGGCCACACCCAGAAGTGCTCAGTGGTTACTCCTGGCTCTTCGCTCAGGGATCATTCCTGGTGGTGCTCAAGGGACCATATGGGGTGCTCAAACTCAGGTCAGCAGTCTGCAAAGCTTAAAGCCTTTCCAGAGGCAGAGAATTTGATACTGGTCCATGGAATTGGGTTGCCTTGGAAGGCAGGACCAGAGGGCAGGAAAGCTATCCAAGATTTTCAAACAAAGACTTGAAATTCGGCTTCTCTTCCCTCCTTTACCTTATAAGAATCAAATGTAAAAGGGAGTCTCCACACGGTTTGCCCCCAGCCCAGGCCCCAGAACTGGAAAGTTTGTATAGTCTGTTGAGGACTCCCATGTTGGAAACCGATAATTGCTGCCAATTATGGTTTAGATTCCCTGCTCCAATGTCCCCTTTTGTTTAGAAAAATTTCACCTTTCAGAACTAAGGATAACCCCTGCGCACCACTGTGTGGCACCAGAGCAAAATTATTTTAAAAAAATTCTACTTTTTTTAATGTTTAGAAAAGTATGCAAGCGATTTCCATTTGTAGACTTTCTCTCTAGGTCTGAGGCTCATAGCCTGGATGAAAATACAATTATTTCCAACGCACTGAAACAGCCTTTGGTTTTGGTTTTAGATCATACCTGGCTGTGCTCATGGCTTATTCCTGGCTCTGTGCTCAGGGATCACTCCTGGCAGGGCTGGAGGGCCCTATGGGGTGCTGGGAATTGAATCCTGGAGGCCATATGCAAAGCAAAAACCCTACCCACAGTACTACCGCTCTGGCCCTAAAATGGTCATTTCTCATATTAGGAATGTCAACTGACAATGACAGATTAGCAAATTGTTCATTTGGCCTCTAATACAAACCACAGATATTTTTCACATCGCATTTGTTAGAGACATCTCAATCTTTTGGTTCTTCATCACAAATTTGAAGTTAGTTGTTAGACATACAGGTGGCTATTAGGTATGTCAATATGTGTTATTTAATAGCACTGTCACTGTCCTCCCACTGTTCATCGATTTGCTCAAGCAGGACCAGTAACATTGTGAGATTTGTTACTGTGTTTGGCATACTGAATACATCACGGGTAGCTTGCAAGGTTTTGCCGTGTGGGCGAGATACTCACCGTAGCTTGCCAGGCTCTCTGAGAGGGGCGGAGGAATCAAACTCGGTTGACCAGGTTGGCCCCATGCAAGGCAAAGGCCCTACCTGTTGTACTAACCATTTGCTCGAGCGGGCCCAGTAACGTCTCCATCATGTGAGACTTGTTGTTACTGTGTTTGGCATATCGAATACATCATGGGTAGCTTGCCAGGCTCTGCCGGGCAAGCGAGATACTCTCGGCAGCTTGCCGGGCTCTCCGAGAGGGGCGGAGGAATCAAACTCGGGTTGACCAGGTTGGCCCCATGCAAGGCAAATGCCCTACCCGTTGTACTTGGCTGGAGCGATAGCACAGCGGGTAGGGCGTTCGCCTTACACGCGGCCAACATGGCCGACCCGAGTTCGATTCCTCCGCCCCTCTCGGAGAGCCCGGCAAGCTACCGAGAGTATTCGATATGCCAGACACAGTAACAACAAAGTCTCCAATGGAGACGTTACTGGGCCCGCTCGAGCAAATCGACGATCAACGGGAGGGTACTAACCATAAAATTAAAATATGGATGGGATCCCTTTTATTGATTCATCAGGGCAGCCCCCAAATAAAGAATGCCCAGAGGTGGATGGGCATGGAGAAACAATACTTTCATGAACTGGCACAACGATTTTGAGGTCAATTAAATTTTTATAACTATATACTCTTCAGCCCAACAAATCCATCTCTAAATATCTACTTAACAGGCCTATCTGCCCATATTCACAAGGCCCTGTGCTGGGGTAATACATGTGACCAAAAAAAAAAAAAATCAAAGCATCTTTCAATACACTTTTTTAAATAGATGGGGTAAACCTCTATGCACCATAAAGGAAAGAAGTCTAAAGCAAAATGAAGTGAAAGTATCAAGTGGTAGCTGTTATATTTATAGAAAAAACAAATCAGAAGATTTACTTTCGCATTATGGATCATTTAAAAATTTTTAATGAAGAATGTAATCATGTACCTGTGAGTCGAGTGCATCAGCAACCTGATGGCGCCTTCAGACTTCCAGATACCCCAAAATTGCTGCTGTGCCTTTGGCTAGACCCCAAAAACTTCGGGCAAAGTTTACCAAGAAAGTAAATGGCCAAAAGTTAGGTATGTGGGAAACACCCCCACAAACCACCTCCGGCTCAGCTATATAATTGGAGGCACGGCCTCTCTGGTTCCTGAAAGAACTGCTTAATGGCCATGATCCCAGAGACTCAGAAGCAAATCTCGAAACCCAGCAGCTTTTGGCAGAAATGCGTCCGGTCCTTGCAGTAGGTTACTGGTGCTGGGCCAACCCAGGTGGGAATAGGTTTCGTGCCTTGACCTGTTCCCCCCGGCGGCCCAGTGGCCACCATCCTTCAGAGACCACTGGACAGTCAGGTTTGGGCCTGCAGTGACGAGACACGCAGGGCCTCACGGGATGGGGGTGGAGCCGGTCCTGTCCTCCCCACCCCAACGAGACCCCAAGTCATCGCCCACGAACGGCCTCTCTGGCTCCTCATCAAGCTGCTTAACAGCCTTGATCCCAGAGACTCAGAAACAAATCTGGAAACACAGTGGCTTTTGGCAGAAATGCGTCCAGACTCCGCAGTAGGTTACTGTCGCCGGGCCACCCCAGGGGGGAAAGGGTGTTGTCCCTCCGCCTGCTCCCCCTTGGCGGCTTGGAGGCCATCATCCTCCAGAGGCCATTAGACAGTCAGGTCTGGGCCCGCAGTGACGAAACTTGTTGGGCCTCACAGGATGGGGGTGGAGCCGGTCCTAGTCTCCCTGTTCCAATGAGACCCCAAGTCATCGCCCAAGAACAGCCTCTCTGGCTCCTGATCAAGCTGCTCAACGGCCATGATCCCAGAGACTCAGGAGCAAATCTCGAAATCCGGTGGCTTTTGGTGGAAATCCCTCCAGATTTAAAAGTGTTAAAATTTCAGAATTTCAAAATCACATGACCCTACTACAGCCACGCAACATCATATGTTATTCATAACCAGCAATAGAACACAAATTGTCTACTGTTGCCTTTTCAGCAGATCTGAGTCTTGGGGTAAAATCTCAAATAATAATGGTGGGTCTGGTGTCAAAATATTGAATGTGATCAAAGTAGAGAGAGAGTAATGTGGAAATCATCTGCCCCACAGGTAGGGGGAGGGTGTGGGATGGGGTATACTGGGGTTTTTGGTGATGGAGAATGGGCACTGGTGAAGATATGGGTGTTTCATTGTATGACCGAGACTTAGACCCCAAAGCTTTGTAACTGCTCTCATGGTGATTCAATAAATAAAATTATAAAAAATGAAAAAAAAAGTAAGGTGGAGTTCATGCACAATTCAATCAGCTAATCAGTGGCTAAATAAATAGTACTTCTACATAAATAAATAAATAAATAAATAAATAAATAAATAAATAAAGTAATCATGTTGGCTTGCTACTCAAGCCCATGTTCTCCTGTGAACACATTTCCAGTTTGCTCATCTCTGTGTGCTCTCTCTAGAACTTCTCTTTTTCTCCTCTCACATCTTTCTAAAATAAGTTCAATAAAACCATCTACATCACCAAAATATATACTTATATGTATATGTGCGTGTGTATATACAATTAACTCTACCAGTTATGGAATGGAAAACAAAAAGACTTTTAACGTAAGAGCTTGGTAAACCAAAATTTTTTAAAGAAGTAAACTATTATAACTAATAGAGGTTGTTTTGGGACATGAGTGTGAAATACCTTCTATGTGGTATTGATTTTTAAATTGTATACTAAGGAGGATTTTATGGTGCAATTATTTTTTAATATTCATATTTGGAGAGAATATACTCACAGTTTCTCAACCCAAGGGTATGTCTTCCATGTATTTCCATCAATGGAAGAAATAGAGTTTCCTTGGAAATCTCTGTGAAGAAACACAGTTCACAGACTTGAACAGGTAGGAAAAGAATGAACAGGAAAGTAAAAGAATCATAGAAACACAGAATACTCCAGCTCATCTCCATAGCTATGAGTTTCCCATTTTGCCCAACTAAAAACATGACGTGGGATGACTGGTCAAACAATGAAATATCTCACAATCTGAACTTCCTAATTCCTGGAGTAGATAAATACTGCCAGCTAATTAGCCTGTAAGCCATTTTTCCAAACTCACACCTATTATAACTCCTACTGCAAATTAAAGGAGAAAATTATAATTTCATAATTATCATATACAGAAAAATGAACAAAATTATCAGCAAATAAATATTTTAAAACATTGCCAGGAAACACCAAAGGTTTAAGTCAATGCTCTCTGTTGAAATTTCAAGATAGTAGAAATTTCTAGATAGAGACTAGGGAAATTAGAAAATGAGGGGGGACTAGTGAGGAGAGATATATTCAACGTGCCTCAGGAAAAGAACAAATCACAAAGAATTACCTTCATTGGGGGTGGGGAGGAATGCACAGGAAAGAGAGTAGAAGGAAACCCAAGATGGTAACAGAAGTTACCATGCGGCAGTCATATAGCTGGTAGAGTGGGAAAGTGGGATTTTTGCGCCTTATCCTGTTTACTGACCTATTGTAACAAAGAGAATATGTTCATGAATTTACACATGTATAGACGCATGAAGTTGGTGGAGGGGGGGATGGTGCTCAGGACTTGCCCCTGGCTCTGCGCTCAGGGTCAATAATTTTTCATTGAACTGCTGGCTGGCAGTGATGGAGGGGGACCCTATGAGGTGTCCGGGATTGAACCTGGGTTGGCCACATGCAACGCAAGAGCCCTACCCACTGTCCTAGGACTCTGGCTCCCTGAGTTCAGTTTTAAACACTAACTCTGTGGATCACTTTGAATCTAGTTTTGTCAACTTCGCTCAGCAACATGTGTATATAAGCTGCAAATGTGTACATAATCCAAATATAAACCTAATCAGTTTACATACACAGTTTTCAGGGTGAAAATGTTGAAACAGAAACCTATCCCATCCACCTAGTGAACATTTCCACTCAAGACTTCTGGATGCTTTATGATGTCTAAGCCACAAGTTGAGGGATATGTTTAAGGAGGCACAGATTCATAACTGTTTCATATTACAAGCATATTACATATCTCCAAACACAAAAATCATACCAAACGTGCACAGCTTTTTATATGCCCAGCACATAAATAATTTTTGATCCAAAAAAATCAACCTCTAATTCCCAGCTAAAGTTGCTCTGTGTCAGCTCTCTGCAGCTTTCCACAACTGACAAGATTCTGTACATTTCTGTGCCTCTGTTGGTGCTTGGTGACACGCTGCCTTTCCTTTTTGTGTATTCCCTTTCTCCCCAATACCATCATGTTTAAGAGCCGATGACATATTGTTGTGGCTAGGTTGAGGGAAATGGGTGCTTTATATGGAAAGTCAATGTAAACAACTGTAATTCTGAAATGAGAGATTAATGAATACAGACAGCATTCATGTGTATGCTAGTTGCCCGATATAAGTATATAGTTTCACGGGGAGGCCACACCCGGCAATACTTAGGTGTGACTCCAGGCTCCGCACTCAGGAATCACTGATAGTGGTGCTCAGGGGACCATATGGGATGCCGGGGATCAGAACTAGGTGGAACACGTGCAAGGCAAATGCCCTACCTACTGTACTATCACTCTGGCCCAAAGTATTTACATAGATTTCATAGTATTACTTTTGTTGCAATTGGAGCTGGTTAGATCTCACAGTCAACCCTTCTCCACCACCTTGGCCTCATCTCTATAGGGATTCATGTTAAACTTGTTTCAAGGTACTAACTTCATAAGTATCAAAATCAACAAGTATCACAACAATATTAGGAGGTGATAACTTACCATTACCCCCACCTCAAGAAAAGGGAACTGAGTCACAGAGCTAAATAACTTGTCCAAGGTAACAAAGCTAACAAATGCAAACTCGGGCAATCTGGCTCCAGAATTCATGTCCATAAGCACAAGATTGTGGCACCAGCAATAAAAGATAAGGAGGACAAACTATTTTTTTTTTAAAAAAAGGCTGTAGCACAAAGGAAACAAAGGTTAAGGAATTAAATGAGTGGATGATGGGATGAAGGATAGGCTGATGGTGAGATAAAAATAGAGAAGGAAAAAGGGTACGGACGTTTATAACCAAAAGACTAGAGAAGCAGCAGCAACAGATAAGGAGAATGAGGATATCTTTTGACTAACAAAAGATAAAAAGCGGAAATCATTTAACGTGGGCTGGGGGGGGATGAGGCAGACACAGGGAGACATTGAAGAAAAGGCTCTCTATGTCAATAGGCAGAATGCAGAGAACAGAGGAAAGGGGATTCTTACAGGACGGTGAAGGTGTTGGTGTTGGGCCCTGGCACAGGCACTCTATGGAGCCTCTTCTCTGGACTGAGACCGGAGCAGGAGAGGGTCTTATCTGTGCAGGTACAGAGCTCACATATGTTAAAGGTCATGGAGACATTCTGTTCCAGTTGCTCAGGGAAATCTACGTGTGCCTTTTCTGAAGCATGTCGTACAGCAGGCTGGGCAGAAGAGTGAATCAGACAAGAATGACGTGTCGTCAATGTTTCTGGTTGTGGAGTAGCGTACAAAGGTGGAGATGTGAGTTCCCCAAGATCTGTCTGCTGATGCTGAGGCTGTTCTGAAGGCATTTCCTCACTGGGGGTTGTCGGAGCAGCATTTGCCTTTTCTGAACTACATCGTACAGAAGGCACAGTTGAAGACTGAGTCGGAGAAGAATGAGCTGTTCCTGATGTTTCTGGTTCTGGAGCTAAGCACAAAGGTACAGATGTGTATTTACCAAGATCTCTCTGCTGATGCTGACGCTGTTCTGAAGGCCTTCCCTGTCTGGGGGTGGTCAGAGTGGTACTTGTTATAACTCTCACCTCAGCTTTCTTGGAGGCCTTTGAAGACTGAGCTGAAGTCTCTTGCATGGTGGGAGATATAACTGAACTGCCTTTAGTTACAGTAACGTCCTTGTTTTTAGGTGGAAATGTGACTCCACTCAGGTTTGAACAAGGACTCCGAGACGGTGTGATAAGTGTCATATTTGACTGTTCTGTAGCACTGGTACTTGTCAGGGTTGTCGAGGGTTTAGTCTTCACCGTGTGTTCTGGAGTTACAGTCAAATATTGATTTGTAGAAGGCCGATTCTGATGAAAATGTTGAACCTTGTTCTTCTGTGTGGTTGGAGAAGGTATTGTCTTCAAAACCCCCACACTGGGTGGAGCTGAAATGTCAGCTGAGAGTGAACGAGTGTTCACATGATGGGGACCTGGTGAAACTGTCACCTTCTGATTCTCCAGAGTCTGAATTCGGAAAGCTTCAGAACTCCACGCTATAGAGTCTGGACGCTTAGAAGAGGTGCCTGGCTGAGTTGAAGAAATGACTACCTCAAGATGCTCAGGAATCTTAGGGACGACGTCCTCCTGGGTTGCAGAAGATAAAACAGTTTTAGTGGTTTCAGACTTGTTACTGTTAGGTTTCTTATGATGAGTATGATACCTCTTTGTACTCTTAGATAGCAACCTATATATTTTCGAGATTTTGAGAGTGGACAGGTGTCCAGTTCTCGAGAGAAGGTGGAGTAGATCCCCTTGAGCTTTAGTGACACAATCTTGAAGGTTCTCTATCAGCTGGGAAGATTCTTGCTCCTTAGTAGAAAAGCTTTTCCCAGGGTGCTCTGGACCTTGAGTCTGTGCCTCCTGGAAGACGGACGATTTTCCCACCTTCGTGAGGTCAGTGGTTTCATATGATGAAGATGGAGTCACCTCAGGGGACCCTAGCATTTTATCCTGGGACTCCTGCAGGACTGATGGAGAGTCCATCGTCTCAGAGAGCTGTGGACCTTCACCTTGGACCTGCTGGTGGGCTAAAGAAGATTTGGGTAAAGAGAGCTCTGAAGCTGGAGTCTGTGATTCCTTCTGGACTGAGGACTGAACCCCATTAATGACCTCTGGAGCTATGGAAATTGTCACCATCACAGGTTTTACAGTGACGTGGGGCAAGTTTGAAAGGTCAACTTCACTTGGAGGCTGAGCTGAGACCTCGTGCTGCTCTGGAGCAGGTTGAACCTCCTTACTGACCTCTGGAAACATGTTAATTGTCATACCCACAAGTTTTCCCCTCACACTGGGAACATTTAAGAGCTGAGCTTCATTCTTACTTGGTGATGACACATGTTCAGGATGGTCTGATGGTCTGACCTCATTATTGAACTCTGTATATAAAGGAAATGTCACACCCATAGGTTTAGCAGTGACCTGGGGTAAATTGAAGCTTAGAGCTTCATTCTGACTTGGAGGTGGAACATTTTCTTCAGAATGCAGAAATGGTTGAGCTTCAAACTCCATAGGGGATTCAGGAGGCTGAGCTAGGGGATTCTGCTGGACTGAAGATTCAGTCACCTCAGGGATGTCTGGAGCTTGAGGCACTGTCTCCTGCCGTATGGCAGAGCCACTGTCAGGGCTCTCTAGTACCGCAAACTGGGCCTCCTCTTGGGCTAGAGATTGTTTCTTTTCCCTAAGGCGTTCTGCAGTGCGAGTGATATTTAGGGCTTCTGGCTGGGTTGATGTTTCCCCCTCACTGGGGACCCTTGGAGTTCCGGGAATCTGCAGATAGGCAGGTTTGATGGTGACAGTAGCTGTATTTGAAAGATGGACTTCCTTTGGTATCGGTGACACTCTGTTTTCCTGATCACGCGCTCCAAGTTCCAGTCCTGACTCTAAAGGCTGAGCTTCCACCTCCTGAGGCACTGAAGATCCTCTCTCCTCGGAAGCCAATGTAGGCTGAACTAGGGTTTCTGGCAGGACTGAAGCAGTATCACCCTTTTCAGGGGTACTTGACAGCAAATCTGAGTCTGGAACTACCAGAGGTTTTGATTCCTCGGGAGATCCTAGAAGTGCAGCTGGGCTCTGTTGTGTGCTTGCTGAAAGTTCAGCTTCCAGGGTCTTAAAGGGAAGCTGTTCTAGCTCTTCAAAGGTTTCTGGATGCTGAGGCTGGGGTGAAAAGGATCCAGCCTTGTGACGGATCTGTGGATGTTTCTCTGAATCTCCCACCAAAGGTTGACTCCCCTCAGGATAAAAGATATCCATATCCATACTCGTCGGTGGTGGTAGACGACGAGGTCTCATAGATTTCCTGGGAGTTACAATACCTTCAGCAGGATGGTCACGGTGAACTGGATCCTTCCCCCGGTTCTCAGGGGAAAGAAGATAAGTGAGAAGTTCGGAAATAGTTCCACCTGCGAGCCTCCGATGTGCTGCCGGTTTGTCAGTGAAACCAAGGTGTGGAATAAAAAACTGGTGAGACCTAGAGGAATCTAAGTAATCCTCCTGCGTCGGTGGTGGTAGACGACGAGGTCTCATAGATTTCCTGGGAGTTACAATACCTTCAGCAGGATGGTCACGGTGAACTGGATCCTTCCCCCGGTTTTCGGGGGAAAGAATATATTTGAGAAGTTTGGAAATCTGGGGCCGAAGGGTAGGGGGTGATTCAGCGGCAGGATCAGGGGAAGGTGAAAGCCAGGGATTGGGGGGGCCTGGGGGGCTGGGGGCCAGGGGGACTGGGGGTAGGACTCTCCCCCGGAGAGGAGCGCCCTGTATATGGGTAGAGAAAAGAATTGTTAGTATTTTTATTGCCACATCCATGGCTAAGGAATTAAGGCAGCTGGGCGCTGCCCGTGCATGCCCTTATCAACCACGCCCTTGGCAACCACAGGCCCTTGGCAACCGCAGAACCCACCCCTCACCACCTTTATGAGCCTTTAAGCGCCTTTATTGGATCTGGGCAAAGCAGGCTCCTCAAAGCCAGCAGGACCCAGGCTTTCCTTTTTCCCCCAAGGCACCAAACACATCCAATCAGGTCCTCTACCCCACCCCCCTTGCCTCCCCTCCCACTCTTGCCACCCAACAGGACTGGGACTGCCCACTCGTTTGGGCGGAGCCCCAAGGGTGGGGGAGGAGCAGCTTGTCCCCAGACAGGGAACACTGGTGAATTCAACAGCACTAATCCAGCTGTGGTGGTCTTGGTGCTTCCTCCTCACTACTGAAATCCAAGAGACATTCGTCCTCCCCTTGGCCATCCTGCTTCCAAGAAAGGCAGTTGACCTGCAAGAGGAGCACTACTTCGGGTGGGTGGGGGTTCACAAATGTTGTCATTTCCTTTAAGCTCTTAGTCTCTCTGATTATTTATCACTCTCCTAGACAGGGGATAGCATGGAATCAGGGACCCAAAATTTTCTGAAGCAGGGCTCTGGGGCCAGAAACAGTTGATTCTGGGAGACCATTCTTGAACGGAATGAACAGCCATATGCACTCCTTTACACCAGCCTGGGGGGAAATCCCCCTTTCTTGCATGGAACTCAACATAAATTCATGGAGAAAAAGGAGCAAGCTCCTTTCTAGAGGGCTGCCCTTCTAGCACTCGGAGGGAACACTTAGGATGTTCACGTCAGAAAGTGAAAAGGCTTTCTTGCAATACTGTAACTAGCACCCATTTTACTTTCTTCACAGTCCTTCTTCTCATCCATATCAGTTTTTATTATCTCACACTTCCAGAATATAAATTTCATGAGAAGGGGCTTCTTCCCGCTCTCTAGTTGAGTAGAAAGCCCCGAATGGAGTTGGTTCCAAGAGTAGCCTCATTTAGGGATGGATGTTCGTTTTCTGAATTCTTTGGCATTAGTACGAAATGTCTTCTCACCTTTCTTAGTAAGGTGGACATTGTTGTCTCTTTGGGGGCCACACCTGGAGGTGTTTGACGCTGTACCTGACAGTGCTCAGGAGGCCATGCAGTGGCAGGTATCAAACCCAGGTCTCCCTCATCACAGTCCATGCTCCAGCCTGATGAACTATGTCTCAGGCTCCTAAGCTAAGTCTTTTAAGACCAAATTGTAGGTGTTGGAAGTTTTCTTGGTGGGTTTGATTTAAACTATTTAAAAAAGTTCTTTGCAGGACTAGATCAATAGTTCAAGAGATTGAGCACATGCTTTGCACAAGAAAGATTTGAATTTGATCCCTACCATCACCTGGTCCCTCGAGCACTTCGACAAGTGACTGTAACAAAGAGCCAGGCTGGGTAATTCCTGAGCGCTACCAAGTGTGAATCCCGCTACCTTACCCACAAATAAAATTTATTTTACAAAGGAAAAAAACAGATTTTCAACAAGAGGAACAGAATCACCTTTTCTCTCTTTATCTTCCCCTAACTCCCTAACTTTGGAAACAAATTTTCTGACTTTGAGCCATGTTAATTACATATATCCAACTCCAAATTTATTCCCAATGATATTAAACACATTTTGCCGCCCCCCACCATCCCCCGAATACACACATAGTGTATTCATATGTTCTCCTGGAAATTAACAAGTTAATTCCTAATGTGGAATACTGTGCAACTGTTGAACAGAAAGGTTCTTTCATAAAATATTTCATACAAGATATATATGAGATGCTAAGCTCTAGGTATGAAATCATACTTGAAAAAAATGATAACTTTTCGAATGCTGTAACATAATTGTACTTAAGGCCCCAAATCCCTAGATCCTGTTTAAGAGGAGTTCAAAAAGGTATTTCTCTGACAGAACTCAGAGGGCACTCAGAACTCTCCACATTTCAAAGAAGGCTTTAGAACCAATGGCTAGGACTTCAGGGAAAATTCAGAAATTCCCTCAAATAAAGTTTGAGAGTTTCATATTTTTCTGGGGGTGCTAGAATTGCCTACACATGCTCAAAATTTCTAAAATCTGCTCATTATTTTGAATTACAGACATCCTGTATATGTCATCCTTGAGTTTTTCTCTTCACATACTTGAATTAAATCATGTAGTCCTTCGGTTCTGGCATCAGTGAGCTCCTCAAAAGGCCGATATTCCACAGCTACTTTACCACTTTCTGAAATAAAGTTAACAAGGATCAATTCAAACTTATTGGCTAAAATGTTCTTTCTATAAAGGTAGTGCACAGTGATAGTGGGTGTGTACTTCCTTTATACGTCCAATAATTTTATTTCTAAAGCATAAAATAAGAGCATTTTCCTTGTCAATGCAGACATTAAGTTTGGTTCCTTTTGCTTCTCTGTTCTGAGGCCATTCTCAAAGGTGCTTAGGGATTATACCCACTTAGTACTTGGAGTCATTCCTGGCAATGCAGTGCTGAGCTGGAACTGAAACCTGCTTCCTGCATGCCAAGAATGTGCTCAGCCTGTTGAGCTATCTCTCCAACCCACTCCTTCTTTCATTTCTTTTTATCTGGGGTTTGCAGATCCTACCCTCTGGTACTCAGCGACTGTTCCTGGCTCTGTGCTCCCTGATGGTACTAGAGGGGACCATATGCCGTGCCAGGGATATGCAAGGCTCTGGTACCATCTTCCTAACCCCCCATTGGTTCTTAAAAGTTATTATAGTTGATAGAAATTTTACCAGATGACCACAGAAGTCTCTTTTGCTAGAAAATTGCCCAGACTGCAAGGCTGAAGTCAACCCAGGAGCTACTCGTGTAATAAATAAGGTCTCTGACAACTGAAAATTCCTTTCTCTAAGACTGCAGGGCTATAAAGCAAGGAAAGCAATTCTGTTTGTGGACTCTCTACAGATTATTCACTTTCCTTTGGGCACAGCCGGAAATATCCATAGCACTAGAAAATTCCATAAGAGGAGAACATTTAAAAATCTTAAATAGTATGACCACTATTTGTTTTTGTTGGGGGCCACACCCAGCAGTGTTAAGTCTTCTCCTGACCGAAGTACTTGGGGGCTGCTCCTGGACGCTCATGTTGTGCCAGGAATCCAAACCTGGCCTTCCACATGCATAGCATGTGCACTAGGCCTCTTAGCTATCTTCCTGGCCGCAGCAGAATCACTGTGAAGGTTCACAACAAATAGTTGGTTGGTACATCGAATCACAAACTCTCAATATGTCAGTGCTGAAAACCAACCACGAACTGATTCCAGTTAATTTTCCTCTTCAGTAGGAAAATAGTAGCAATAATTAGAATATTTCGTCCTTTACTAAATTCTAGGTAAGTCTCTTTAAACATTTATTTATTTTATTTTTATTATGTAATGTTTCTTTTTCTTATTTTTTTGTTTTTGTGGGTCACACCCAACAATGCTCAGGATTTTCTCCTGGCTCTGCGCTTAGGAACCACTCCTGGCGGTGCTAGGTGACCATATGGGATACTGGGAATCGAACTCAGGTCAGCTGCATGCAAGGCAAACACCCCACCCAAGGTGCTATTGCTCCAGCCCCTTTCTTTCTTTCTCTTTTTAATGAATGACTGTGAGATAGAGTTACAGACTTACAAACGTTCGTGCTTATGTTTCGGTCATACAATGATTGAGTACCCATCCCTCCACCAGTGCCCATTCTCCACCACCAGTCTTCCCAGTATCCCTCCCACGACTCCCTCATTCCACCCACCCCCCACCCCCCACCCCCCATGGCAGGCCTATTCCCTTTCAACCTCTCTCTTCCTTTGGGGGTTGTGGTTTGCAATATAGGCATTAAGTGGCCATCATGTTCCGCCTGTAGTCTACCTGCAGCACACATCTCTTATTCCGAATGGGCCCTCCAAGCATCCCTTACTTGGTGGTCCCTTCTCTATCTGAGCTGCCTTTTCCCCCAGCATGTGAGGCTGGCTTCCAAGTCGTGGAGCAATCCTCCTGGTCCCTATCTCTACTATCCTTGGGTGTTAGTCATCCCATTCTGTTACTTTATATTCCGCAAATGAGTGCAGTTCTAGGTAAGTGTTAAGTATTTACTTTTACAATATAAGGTAAGCTAAATTAAAAAAGGGACTGGAGCAATAGCACAGCAGGGAGGGTGTTTGCCTTGCACACGGCTGACCTGGGTTCGATTGCCAGCATCCCATGTGGACCCCGAGCTCCGACAAGGATAATTTCTGAGTGCAGAGGCAGGAGTAACCCCTCAGCATCCCTGGGTGTGACCCAAAACGCAAATGAAAGAAAAGACAATTGCGGCTTAGAAATACCTTCACATATCTGTCTAGAGACCCACTGTTGCATTTTCTAAAGAGGCAGAGGGCCAGAGTACTATTACAATGGGTCGAACATTTGCTCTGCATGCAGACAACACAGGTT